TTTTTATTTTTTTAAATGTGGCTATGAGAAAATTTAAAATTCATATGTGGCTCACATTTGTCTCACACTTCTACTAAACAATATTGTGCTCTATGTAGATTTTTTTAAAGTATACTTTTTATTTTTTAAAAGGAAAATATGACTGTGCCTGGTGGCTCATGTCTTTAATCCTAGCACTCTCTGGAAGCCTGAGGCGGGTGGATTGCTTGAGGTCAGGAGTTCGAGACCAGCCTGTACAAGAGTGAGACCCCATCTCTACCAAAAATAGAAAAAACTACCCCAGCATGGTGGTGCATGCCTGTATTCCCAGCTACTCAGGAGACTGAGGCAGAAGGATCACTTGAGCCCAGGAGCTTGAGGTTGCTGTGAGCTAGGCTGACATCACAGTACTCTAGACTGAGGATTGTCATTATTCTTATTAATGCTCAAATTATCCCAGATTTGGGTATTGCATAAGATTTTGAAGTAAGTCAAAAGCATAGGTAAATTTGAGGCAGGATGGCAACAGCTATAAACAGCCAATTTCTAGTACTCCACACATTTATGGAGAGTATCATTCAAAACATTTAAAAATGGCAGGCAGAGAAATCAATCAGAGCCTATGCTAGCAGTAAAGAACTGGTAAATATCATGCATCTATTACTCCCTTATATTACTGACAGAAGCAAATTTTCAAGTTCTTATGTGAATACCTTTATTTATACCAAATACCTCAATGTTATGAATGTACCACTGTAAAAATGATGTCAAATCAAATAATATTCAGTAAAACCATGCTCTTTATTTTTTTATTTTTAATTTTTATTATCCTTTGTTCCTTATTTTTTTCTAGGGCGACTTGTAAAAACCATGCTCTTTAAATTCCTTAATCTGGCTCACTGGTGGTACTAACAAGTACCAAGTAACACATTCATTCAGTGTTCAAAGTAAACATTTTTAATATTACATTGCATTCAGAAAATTTTGGAATTGTAGCTTCTAATCAAGTACGTTAATTTACTCTTACCTTTTCTGTCAGAAATGTTGTCTTGTTCCCAAATAAAACCACCAATTTTTCTTCTTATTTCTGTTTGAGAAAACAAATCCAATACTATTTTTAAAAGTAATTTTGTAGAATCTTCTGAAAAAGTCTCAAATTCTGGGCCAATATTATTTCATTTGCATTAAAATCACCTATGATATTTGTTAAAATGGAACTCCTATTGATTCAGGTCATTGAGGAGGAGCTCAGGATTTGCATTTCTAACAAACTCCCCAGATGATTCCAATACATTTGATAATCATCATTGTAGACTCTTCCTGAGAATATATATATGTATATGTATATCTTCATTAGATGTGTCTCTATTGGGACAAGCATTAATAAAGAAAATAACTGTTCATGGGAGGCTGAGGCAGGAGGATTGCTTGAGCCCAGGAGTTTGAGGTTGCTGTGAGCTAGGCTGACGCCACGGCACTCACTCTAGCCTGGGCAACAAAGCGAGACTCTGTCTCAAAAAAAAAAAAAAAAAAGAAAAAAAGAAATAACTGTTCAGTTAAATAAAAAGTAAAATTGCTGAGCAGAGATCCTAAAGAATTAATTTACTTTGATAAAAGAAGGGTGGATGAACAGTAAGTCTGGTAGGGATGGTAGTGCAGAAATTCTGTAATGCTCAGCATGTCAAAGGACTATGTCATCGTTCCAACTTAATGATCTCAAAAGTTTTTGACAAAAAGTGTAATATTACTCTAGATCTTTACTGTCCAACGTGGTAGTCACTAGCTACATGTGGTACTGAGAGCACTTGAAATGTATGGTTAGTCCCAGCTGAGATGTACTGTCAGTATAAAGTAAACACTGGATGTTGAAGACTTAGTATAAAAAATGTAAATATCTCTTTTTTTTTTTTTAGTAATCCTCCTGCTTAGCTTACTGAGTAGCTGGAACTACAGGCGGGTGCCACCACGCCCGGGTAATTTTTTGTTTTGCTTTGTTTTTGTTTTATGCCATCTCAAAATCTTTATTAAAAGAGGCTCAGAAAAATAGAGTACATTTAAACTTCCTTTGTTCTAATACTGTAAGACCTCTACATTTCTAAATAGTCTATAAGGATAGTTATATGAAATATCCATAGTTGAAATAGTTTTTTAAAATGTACAAATACTAAAACCTATTTTGTGGAAATATAGTTCATTCCTAAACATATCAGAGCTATGTTCTACAATTAATGAAAGATTTCAAAAAATCTTACGCAGATCTGATCATATTATGCCCTGGTAGTATTATGCCACTGCAAAGTGGCTGTAGAAATAGTAGGCAAATTTTAGTTCCTCTGGAGTTTTTTAAAGCTTAAATGCATTCTTAGTATAAAATAAAGTGAAAGTGTTTCCCCCTATTTAACATAAAACATATCTATTGTGAAAAGAGTTGTTCTCATCTACCCTTGGTTAAGAATAATAAATTTACTTCTTATTGAATAGATGGTCTAGATTGAGACAAAGAGCAGCAGGGCACCTTTCTGTCCTGTGCTTACCCTGTGCTTTCACCCTTTACTGAATGTGTGCTTGGTTTCCTATATTAGCAATGTTGGTTTAATAGAGCACATTTCTCTTTCTGACTACAAAAATTTCAATGAGTGACCCTCAAATAACTAATGTTGAGAAAATATGAATGGTTACCTTTATTTTAATAATGGTTACATGGTCTTCAAAAATAGAGTTGTTAGACATGTTGAAACTATAACTAGACTTAAGGCAGTTAGTATTGCTTCTGGGTTAAACGGGAAACTATTAATGTATACTTTGTTGAAAGAGGAACTGTCACAGAAACTAAGAACTGAATAATAAAAATCCTTTGTATGTCTCAATCTGGGGAGAATTTTTGCTCTTGGAAAATTGAGGATATTATTCCTTCATGAGTATAGTCTGGGATTCAGGCTTCTGGTTCTCCTGGTGATTGAAGCATCTTTGTTTATACTAGATAACAAGGACTGCTTTGCATGCATGTGAGGGAGATATAGAAATGTCTTGGAATTAATGCATTAGGCAGCTGTTGCAAAGGAAAATGGCACAAACTCAAGCCATAAAGTTAGCATTTTTTGAGGTACTCAAAAGTTGAGAGCACCAGAGCCACCATGGGTATAGATTTTAGATTGTGGTTCAGAATCATAATCTTGGTGATTGAGTCTTGGCAAAGCAATAATAGTACTGCATTCTGGACATTTTCACTGAATACAAAGGAAAAGTTAAAAAATGCTTTTTAAATCATTGGCATCAGTTATATATTCCACCACAACTAAAATTATTTTTAAAAATGCTTCTGAAGATAAATAACAGTTCATTGAAATCACATGAAGAAATATGAATAATATTGTGAAAAGATTTTAAGGAAAGATTCAAAACCTTTTCCTGAGTCCATGTTTCTGACCCTCAGGTAAGGTCTTTTCAGCCTATCAAGTACTTAGCCATTGTAATGGTTTTCTGGAGAACTTATGGGCAGTTAATTTTGTATTTAGGCCAGACTGGTGTGGATGAGAGGTGGGCTGCATTTTACCTACTCTGAAGTCCATTCCTTCAAAATGTTTTCTACATACAACTACTTGGACATTACAAGCAAATCGTTCTAAATAAGCCTGTTTAGAACTAAGAGCATGTGAAAACTACTGTGAACAACTTAGTTAAAATGTTTTCTTACAGAAATGTAATGGACTGGATAACAATAAAACACTTGGAAAATTGCCTCAAAATTAAAGGGTAAGCAAGAAAAAAGAACAGAAAAATAAATGATTGATGACTGTGTACAGTAGCTATGTTTTCATCAGCTTACACTAACTTCCATTAAATAGTCTTCCCTCTCAATACTTAGGTTCTAAACCCTCTAAGGATAACAGTTTTTGCTTAGTAATCAAATAGAGCCTTAGATGATGTCACCCACAGAAGTGGAAAATAAAACACTCCCTTATTTATCATACCCGGCTAATTTTTCTATTTTTTTGTAGAGACAGAGTCTTGCTATTGCCCAGGCTGGTCTTGAACTCCTGGGCTCAAGTGATATTCCTACCTTAGCCTCCTAGGATTACAGGTATGAGCCACCATGCTTGGTCTACCTTTGAATTAATATGTAACCTGATTACATATCAATATGTAATTAAAATGTAATCCATTAATGACCTTCGCCTAAACCAGTTACTATATTGGGGGCTGTAAAATGGAGATTTTCTGTCATCTTTTTTGTATATTTATTAGCTGCTATTTTTCTGTAAAGAAAAACTATCTTTATCCTATTCTTCTTTTCTTCCTTCCTTCTTTCCTTTCTTTTTCTTTCTTTCTTTCCCTTTTCTCTTTCTTTCTGCTTTTGGAGTACCACTATGGATTCATGGGTTCTTTTTTACTTATTATAATCCATTACTGTCATTATTCTTATTAATGCTCAAATTATCCCAGATTTGGGTATTGCATAAAGATTTTGAAGTAAGTCAAAAGCATAGGTAAATTTGAGGCAGGATGGCAACAGCTATAAAACAGCCAATTTCTAGTACTCCACACATTTATGGAGAGTATCATTCAAAACATTTAAAAATGGCAGGGCAGAGAAATCAATCAGAGCCTATGCTAGCAGTAAAGAACTGGTAAATATCATGCATCTATTACTCCCTTAATATTACTGACAGAAGCAAATTTTCAAGTTTCTTATGTGAATACCTTTATTTATACACAAATACCTCAATGTTATGAATGTACCACTGTAAAAATGATGTCAAATCAAATAATATTCAGTAAAACCATGCTCTTTATTTATTTATTTTTAATTTTTTTATTATCCTTTGTTCCTTTATTTTTTTTCTAGGGCGACTTGTAAAAACCATGCTCTTTAAATTCCTTAATCTGGCTCACTGGTGGTACTAACAAGTACCAAGTAACACATTCATTCAGTGTTCACAAGTAAACATTTTTAATATTACATTGCATTCAGAAAATTTTGGAATTGTAGCTTCTAATCAAGTACGTTAATTTACTCTTACCTTTTCTGTCAGAAAATGTTGGTCTTGTTCCCAAATAAAACCACCAATTTTTCTTCTTATTTCTGTTTGAGAAAAACAAATCCAATACTATTTTTTAAAAGTAATTTTGTAGAATCTTCTGAAAAAGTCTCAAATTTCTGGGCCAATATTATTTCATTTGCATTAAAATCACCTATGATATTTGTTAAAATGGAAACTCCTATTGATTCAGGTCATTGAGGAGGAGCTCAGGAATTTGCATTTCTAACAAACTCCCCAGATGATTCCAATACATTTTGATAATCATCATTGTAGACTCTTCCTGCTAGAATATATATATGTATATGTATATCTTCATTAGATGTGTCTCTATTGGGACAAGCATTAATAAAGAAAATAACTGTTCATGGGAGAAAATAACTGTTCATGGGAGCTGAGGCAGGAGGATTGCTTGAGCCCAGGAGTTTGAGGTTGCTGTGAGCTAGGCTGACGCCACGGCACTCACTCTAGCCTGGGCAACAAAGCGAGACTCTGTCTCAAAAAAAAAAAAAAAAAAGAAAAAAAGAAAATAACTGTTCAGTTAAAATAAAAAGTATAAAATTGCTGAGCAGAGATCCTAAAGAATTAATTTACTTTGATAAAAGAAGGGTGGATGAACAGTAAGTCTGGTAGGGATGGTAGTGCAGAAATTCTGTAATGCTCAGCATGTCAAAGGACTATGTCATCGTTCCAACTTAATGATCTCAAAAGTTTTTGACAAAAAGTGTAATATTACTCTAGATCTTTACTGTCCAACGTGGTAGTCACTAGCTACATGTGGTACTGAGAGCACTTGAAATGTATGGTTAGTCCCAGCTGAGATGTACTGTCAGTATAAAGTAAACACTGGATGTTGAAGACTTAGTATAAAAAAATGTAAAATATCTCTTTTTTTTTTTTTTTTTTTGAGACAGTCTCACTTTGTTGCCCAGGCTAGAGTGAGTGCCGTGGTATCAGCCTAGCTCACAGCAACTTCAAATCCTGGGCTCAAGCAATACTCCTGCCTCAGCCTACCGAGTAGCTGGGACTATAGGCATGTGCCACCATGCCGGCATATTTTTTTCTATATATATTAGTTGGCAATTAATTTTCTTTTTACTTATAGTAGAGACTTGAGGTCTCGCTCTTGCTCAGGCTGGTTTGGAACTCCTGACCTTGAGCAATCCTCCCGCCTTGCCTCCCAGAGTGCTAGGATTACAGTTGTGAGCCACCGTGCCTGGCCTAAAATATCTCAATAATTTTATATTGATTATATATTGAAATGGCAATATTTTGAAATAGTAGTCTAAATAAAATATATTCTTAAATTAATTTTACCTATTTTTTTTTTAGAGAAGGGTTCTCACTTGTTGCCAGGCTAAGTGCCCACTTATGATAGTCGCTATTCATAAGCATTTCATAGTGCAGTACAGCTACCAACTCCTGGGTTCAAGGATCCTCCCACCTCAGCCTCCAAGTAGCTGGGTTATAGGTATGTGCCACATTGCCCATTTTTATTTTTTTAAATGTGGCTATGAGAAAATTAAATTCATATGTGGCTCACATTTGTCTCACACTTCTACTAAACAATATTGTGCTCTATGTAGATTTTTTTAAAGTATACTTTTTATTTTTTAAAAGGAAAATATGACTGTGCCTGGTGGCTCATGTCTTTAATCCTAGCACTCTCTGGAAGCCTGAGGCGGGTGGATTGCTTGAGGTCAGGAGTTCGAGACCAGCCTGTACAAGAGTGAGACCCCATCTCTACCAAAAATAGAAAAAACTACCCCAGCATGGTGGTGCATGCCTGTATTCCCAGCTACTCAGGAGACTGAGGCAGAAGGATCACTTGAGCCCAGGAGCTTGAGGTTGCTGTGAGCTAGGCTGACATCACAGTACTCTAGACTGAGGATGGAATGAAACTGTCTCAAAAAAAAAAGGAAAATATTTTCATTTAAACCAGATTTTTAAAAATTTAAATACATGTTAATATAAGATGCAAAACTCAAAGACAGAATACGAGTGATAATTTAAATCAGATGAGGCCGGGCGCGGTGGCTCACGCCTGTAATCCTAGCACTCTGGAGGCGAGGCAGGCGGATTGCTCGAGGTCAGGAGTTCAAAACCAGCCTGAGCAAGACCCCGTCTCTACCAAAATATAGAAAGAAATTAATTGACCAACTAAAAATATATATACAAAAAAAATTAGCCAGGCATGGTGGCACATGCCTGTAGTCCAGCTACTGGGAGCTGAGGCAGTAGGATCGCTGAGCCCAGGAGATTGAGGTTGCTGTGAGCCAGGCAGACGCCACGGCACTCACTCTAGCCTGGGCAAGAAAGTGAGACTCTGTCTCAATAAATAAATAAATAAATAAATAAATAAAATCAGATGAGATAGTCATTCTATAATATAAGCTCTTTGAAGGTGAGTATTCACTGATTGCACAAATAGTTTTTAATAAATCAATTCTCCCATCCAGTCTTTAGTTTATTTGGGTAACCACTGAGAACAACTTGGTGTTGTAAGTTATAACTAGGTCTCACCAGGACATCAACTTTGGAAGAAACACAATCTCTGGAGTTTCTTTTAAAAAAATTGAAATTTTTTGATATAGGTCTCATTATGGTGCCCAGGCTGAACCAAAGTCCTAGGTCAAGCAATCTCCTTCCTCAGCTCTCCAAGTAGCTGAGACAATAGAGGTATGCCACTGCACCCAGCATCTGGGTTTCTAAAGCTCTTTATGAAAATAATTTTCCAATTTTGTTTTGTTTTAATACTCCCCTCACTGGGAATTTGTTCTAAGCTTCAGTCTGTCTTTCTGGAGAAGGACACGTTGTTATCTATGGAATAAACCAGCTAAACATTGAAAATTAATGTATAATTACAAAAATGGATATTTAAAGTTGCCCAGAAAGATAGGTAGGATTTGGACAGAAGAACAGGATAGAAGAAAGCATGTTCCAAGCAGGGAAAACCAAAAGCCAATCTCTGAAGCAGTTTCTTTATTTACTTGCCCTTCCTATTTCATAGGGTTGCAAAAAAGTTAATGTGAAGTACCTTCAAATGTATAAAGAAAATATAAAATATATGGGTTACTATCATAACCAATCTTTAAATATCAGAAAGAAACAATGTAAAATAAAAAAGATTCAAAGCTAGCAAAGAACACATTATTACATACTCACATGTCAGACACCTTAATGTATTATCTCATTTTATCCTCAGAACAATGTGCGAGAAGTTAAGTCACTTGCTAAAGATGGCAAAACTAGTAATGCGGATCCTAGCCTATGAGCACTGCAAATGCAAGATGTGATCTGTCTTATTCACCACTGAATCAATCCCCAGCCCTGGCTTGAAACATGGCACACAGGAGGAGCTCAATGAATGTGTGAATGAACATAAACAAAGCCAGGATGTACACCTAAGGCAATCTGACACAATTCATGCTTTTCCCAGTTATATTAAATAGATAACAAAACTCAAAAATCTCTGATTGAGAACAATGTTGAATTTGGCTGTCTAACAGGGAATGGTTGAATGATCCTTGCTAACTTTTTGCAGGCATGCAGGAGGAAGAATGAAATGACCTAAAGCCACCGAATTTTTCATTTCAGCATTAGCTACTGCAGAGAGATAGTAGGCGTGAAAAACTGTAGCATTATCTTCTATGTAATCAAGGCCTGATATATTCTAGGAGAAGAAAGAAAAATTTTTAGTTATGAAATAAATAAGAATGTATTCAACCTTTCAAAAGAATGAATCAATGACTGGAAGTAGGGGTTGGTTACATTAAAGCATACATTTTTTATGCTGGTCCTTTTTTTCTGGCAAGGAAGTATGAATAGATGGCTTGAGATATTAGTAGTTTTGGGGCCTAAAACTAGGCAAATCTCAGCTTTAGAGACTTCATTAATGATTAAATAAATTAGGAAACTTGATCTAAAACAGTACTGTTGACTGCACATCAACAGTAGATCGAGAGCCAGTAGCCTACGAGTTTACCCATAGTCACTGTTTTATGAAGAGGGATCAATCAATTCTGAGGTAGGGAGTAGGCACTCAGCTCCACATATAGAAGGCAACATCTTTCCTATAGGTGGGATAAGAGGAAGGCATGAGAGAAGCTGGTCGTGCTGGGGAAGGTAATTAAAGTGCTACTAAGATAATGGCAGTGAGGATGAAGAAACATTAGGGGATTCAATTATTTGGGCACTGACTGATTGAGAGGGCAGGAGATGTTATTAAAAGTGACTTCGAAGGTTTTAAGTTTGGAGAACAGAGGCAGGACTGGTGCAGGTATGAGGGTAACAAGAGATTTGGTTTAGACATCGAGTATGAGGGCCGTCGAGGCCCACGTGGAGGTGTGGGAGACAGCTGGAAGCGCACACTGGAATTCGGGAAGGGACCGGAGGGGCAAGTGGAAGGCCAGGACACAGCGGTGGGGAAAGGAAAGGGGTAAGGTTACCTATCTTTCTCCCACACCAGGATGAAACCTTGCTCGTTTCCAGCCTCACCCTATCATCGATATTTATTAGTTGGCTGCAATTTCCATCCCCAACTCCGAGCTCATTCATGACACCAGAGGCAATGCCGAGTGGCCCGCAGGTACCTCAGCGTGTCTGGGTGCGAGCATCGCAGCTGAACAAGAATCGGCTGCCCGCGGTCACTGATCGTCCCCTTCGGGCCACTGTGGAGCAAGAGCACAGGGTGAGACCACTAAAGCACCCTGGAACCGAGGCACCAGAGGGAGGAGCGATGCTGCCTTGCCACCGCACCCACCCCTTCCGCTCAGCTTCCTACCCCAGAACGCCTCAGGTCCCGGCTGACGCTGCCGCTGAACAACCGCGCTGCCTTGAAACATGGCGCCACTTCGCCCGCGAGGCCGGGCAGAGGAGGGTCAGAAGCTGAGGTCTCTCGATTGGTCCCAGGTCCTAAGCGGAGCTCCGATGATTGGTACCAAGAGCAGTGGGCGGAAAAGGCCTGAGGCAGTTGAAGAGGGCGGTCCCTACCGGCTCGCTGTTCATTCTTTGGTATCGGTTAGACCTCCCAGCCTTCTTCCTG